TAGCATGTGACGAAATGAGGTCCGTGTCAGAAGAGGGGACGGTAATGTATCGTCTAAAGCTATCAAGTTTCATGAATTACTCTAACAATACTTATATATATATATATAGCATGTACATACCTGAGCCCTCAAACTACCCGTAAAAAGAGGTAACCCTTGTTTAAGAGTATTTTGGTCCGGGTCCAGGTCAATGAACATATATTAAGCTTGAGAGCTATTGGGTTGGATCTTTAGACTTCAACTTTGTGGTTGAAATCAAGGGTTTTTCCACTAAACCCGCAAAAAGTTGAACTTGTTGCGGGTTTTTCCATTAAACCCGCAAAAAAGTCGAACTTTTTGCAGAGGGGTTAACAGCAACCAGGGAAGTTCAAGCCCGCGGAGATCTGAGTCCCGGCGTCGCGCTTCTGCAGCGCCAGGCCTGCCTCGCCCACGTCTTCCAACACTTCGTCCTGTCTTTGGCCCTGCCTCGAGACCAGGCCAAACGAGCGAGTCCAGTGGAGGGAGGGGATTCAAGTGGATGGTGCTGGTGGATGGGTTCCCCAAGTGCGATTTATCACTTCCCTCTAGGGGTTGATTTACTGTCCATTCTCCGGAGGTTTCTAGAAAGAATGGGGAAGGAAATGCCCAGCAAAGGACTTACTTATGCGGGATACTACCCCTCACCTGCCCCAAAGCGAATGGATCTTTGAACCTTGTTGTTTTCCTGGCTTGTTGTTGTTAGAGCCACTTAAGTAGGGCGATCATCCAAGGCTGAACTTGTATTGCAGGATCACCGGTCATCAACCCCAGCCCTATTTCCTGGTAGCTCGGCTGGTTGTTTTGGTTGCTCACGTTGGGTCAGTTCTCTTCCGGGGTCCGTAGTTTCGTTGTAAATCCGACAGTTCGTGGAGAACAGAGCTGAAACTTATACTTCGGTTCTGTTTTCCCCTGTTGGGGGTGATGCATGCACGGTGGATGCCCAACCTGTTTGCTAGGGGGCAGGGGGAAGCCTGTCCAGAGTTGTGTGGCATAATGTGGTTGGTTCGCTTGCATGTAGGGCATCACCATAGCGCCCCGTTGGGCCAGTGTTGATTGAGTTGCTCTTCGGTGTGGTTATGTTTAAATGGTGAGTAACCCTGCTGCATTCAAGCAAGATCTCGGGCAACCAGGAACGCTAGCGCTAAGAGCCTTTTTGGTTGGGGTTGGTTGGGGTCGCCCTCGGACTTTTATCAATGCAACATGAAGGTTCTTCCCGGTTGCCCAGTGGCACCCTTTGTTCCTTCCTTTTTTTGGAAGGGTTCCCCTTTGAACTTAACCAACCAAAAAAAGGATGCCTTTTTCCCCGTGGCCACTGGGCAGCTGAGTCTTAGTGGAGCCATGGCACATGCCAGGTACTGCCGCAAGCGTCCTTGACCATCGGCATGAGCAGTGGTCTGCCTTGCAAAGTCAAGCGGCGCCGGTGAGGGCCATGCTCGTTTCTAAAAGCCCGACGGCTGGGCTTGTCTCAGAAGGAACCTCAAACATGAACCCTCGCAAAGGCTCCTTGCTTCATGGTTGTTGGGAAACATTGGATATGTTTTTGCTTGTTGTGCGTGGGAAATCCCCACTCAATTGCTAAAAAACAAATTGTTGCTCTCCTTCCAGCGTCAATCAAGCTTAGAAGCAATCGAGGGATGCTCCAAAAAGGAAGCCTCTGGCCAAGAAGCCATCGAGTTGCATTCTCGAAAAGGAAGCCTCTGGCGAGCGGCTCATGTGCGAGGACGTTTTACAGGGACAGCAAGCCCAGAGTTTCATATTTTCCGGCTGCTTTCAAATGCCGAGGCGAATGGCATAGCCGGCGGGACAGTCCTGGCTCAACTTTTTAAGGAGCATGAGGGGCGACTGGGAAAAGTTTCGCACCAGGGCAGAAAGGCCTTTTGGGGCGCGGGCCAGGCAACTGAGTTCACAAGCTTTATCGCTGCCTTTGTCTCGGCGTGAAGGAACCCCTCCCCCGGCAAAAAACAACAACACCAGCAAACATGTCCCCGCACCCCGAAATTGCCAACCTGAACGCGGGGTATTGCAACCACAAGTTATGGCTCTTTTTCTGGTACCTTGCGGGTCCAGGTTCCCTTCTGCCGTTGAAGGCATCCCAGTGAGGTCAGATGTTGGCCAAACTTCCATGGAAAGCATCGGGAGGTTGGGCCAATCTACTCACTCGGTTGCAAGGTCTCAGGTCGAAGTTGTGCTGTGGTTCTGAGATCACCTGCCAACAAGAAAGACAGGCATGGGCGAATTGCAGCCACCGAGTCCCTTTCATGGGATGTCACTGATGGGTGTATTCATTTGGCTGTGAATTTGAGGAGTTGTAACCACCTCAGAAGAAGTTGGTGGTCGCAATTCATCCCTAAATGTTGTCCACCGAAGGGTCCCTTAGTACATCTCACCCATATTTGGGTTGTTCATATGGTGTCTTAAAATAGGGTGGAAAAAGGCGTGCTGGAAGGAAAAAAACATGGCTGGTTTCCCCTGTGTTTCCCTTTGAGAAAACAGACTAAAAGGACATTGCCAAAAGGAGGCAAAACCCAAAAAGACGAGCCACCCAGATTTCTTTTTGGTGAAGTCGTGTTCATCCACCCAGACCCACTCAGCATCCAGCAGGCCGGCCCGGCCTCGGTGCCGCAAAAAGAAGAGGCCCGCGGCTTTGGGCCGGAAAAATGTGGGGGGGGGGGTTGGGGGTTGGGGGTTGGGGGGTGGGGGGGGGGGGTTGTTGAATCTCTTGGACAGGAGAATTAGAATGGACCTATATACATGGAAAGGCTATTATTGCAACAAACTAAAGAAAAAGAAAACCAAATAAAAAGATAATGAAAAATAACCAACATAAAGATAAGAAAGGAATAGAAGGAAAATAAACAAGAGATGAAGGAAGAGGAAATCATTTGCAACCGCTGGAAAGTGTGGAAACATGTGTGTGTGTGGTGTGGGTGTGTGTGGGGGGGGGCAACCCACCCCTCCGGTTTCCTTTGGATTCATGCTTACGGAAAAATGTGTGGGGTCGGGGGGTTGGGGGTTCTTGAAGCCAGAAAAGGGGGGACAAAGTAACTTGATGGGGTTGGGACTCCCGGCTTCATGTCACAGAACGGGCCCTCTCTGTCGCAACCGTGGGTTTGATAACCCCCCCTGCAGATTGCAGAGTGCCACTCAAAAGGGGATTCCTCAACAAACGGATGGCTTCGAGTTGCGTCACTCGTTTTGTCAGGGGTTGCTCTGGGTCCACAAAGGTGAGGGAAACTCAAACCGATCTTGGAGCCCTTTGACTTGAGTCTTCAGTTCGGTGTCCGAGTCTTCGAAGCTATGAAATCCATGTAAAGCCACCTGAACCCCAGGCTCTTGGAGCGTTGTGATGTGCAGGGCTGCGGTTGCAGCTCCTTGGGCCGCCGAGAAGGTGGCCAGCTGCGGGCGGCGGAAGTCGCCGCGGCGCTGGCGCCGGCGGCGCTGAGGCGGGCGGTGGTCCCGGGGTCGGTTTTGAGACGTGGGGGGCTTGAGGGGGTGTTTTGAGATGTGCAAAAAGGTGGTTGATCACTTTTCGCCGGAGATCGAAGTGAGAAGTTGTTGCGTGCTTTGGGGAGCACCTGGGGGGGGGACAAACCCATTATCTCACAAAACCAGGGGGACAACCCGAATTGCCCCCAACTTGCCCCATGTTGTTTGGTAAAAGCATGTAAGTTTGCTTGTGCATGTAGGAGTGACTAGCAAAAACCTGGTTCGAATGCGAGACTTCACAAGGAAAACCCCGCAGTTGGGGGTTCTAAAAGGGAAACTTGAAAGGAGAAGCACACATTCGGAGTGTTTTTTTCAAGGCCATGGGGACACGGTTGATGAACAGACCCTTGGTTGATTCATAGGGGGATGCTCCTGCAAGAGTGAAGGATCTCTCGCTCAGCTGGCCGCAACCAGCACTTGCTTTCTGGGCAGCATCAGCTTGGACTGCTGCTGAAAGCAATCCTAGACCAGTGGACATGGACTGTATGGTGGGTGGGCGTTGTCCTAAGGCAAAGATTTCCTCTTGAAAGCCTAAAGTATCAGAGGTCAACCGAATGAATCAGACAAGGTGCAGGGCATGGTCACGAGCTGGTTTCTTCCTTTTTTTGTGTGGTTGCTCATGTCTATCCCTCTCAACGCATGTGTTCAAAGCCAACTGCCCTTATGGCTTCCTTGTTCTGGCCCCATTTGGAGTGTCCCAAGAGGTAAGCCCAACCATCCATGGATTTGCGGACCTGAGTTTTTTCAGAGACCTTGCCCAGAGGCTGATTACTGGCTACACGGCGTTCTATGTTGTGTGTCCAGACCTACCGATGTGATTTGCAATTTGCATTGCAAAATCAGTGAGTCGCTGAGCTGGGGCTCTCTATGGAAGTAACATCATGGGCACGACCTTTGTGAGCTTTCCAAGGTGCAGCTGCAACGCCAATGAGATTGCCCTGGGGGTTAATCCCCATATGGCGATGAACGGGGAGCACCCGGTTGGCCACTTGCAAGAGAAACTTGATGAACTGTGTGTCTCTTCTTGACAGGCAGGAGACGTTTGTTGACAATCCAGGTGTAATTTCTCAGTTGTTTGTTTTCGACGTCTTGACCTTTTGGTTTTCCCTTTTGGTCCCATATTTAGTCATGGCCCCAAAAGGTGATCACCGTTTCGTTCCAGGTCCTTTGGGCAACTCAGATTTGCGTGTCTGCCAGAGCGTCATTATCTCCTTTCTGGCCGACAGTCATCGCGTTGGGTTTGGTGTTTTCGGACGTGTTGGGCGGTTGTTCAAACAACCAGCCCGCTTTTAGAAGGGAAGCCAAAAGCGGGTGTCTCGCTCCCTGAGTTCCTGGACTTTGAGCTTTTTTGGAAGACCAATTTAGTGGTACACAAAAAGTTGCAGCTTTGTTCGGCCACTCAGGAAGTTGGGTGTTTAAGCACGTTTCAACCACCGGTGGGCCCCCTCCTCCTTCCCTCGAGGGGGTGAGTCAGCCGTGCCAGGCACAATGAAGACATGGTCGAGATCCCGGCTGGTCGCTTTCTCATGGGCGACCGGAAGGATCGCGTGCACTTTCCACAGGCGGGGAATCGTTGGACCGGCGTGGTGTTAAAAGGCGGCAGTCCCTCGTGGTCGGTTTTACACTTGGAGCAAGTAGAAGGGACAATCTCCGCCTATGTTAGGTGAGGTCATGTTTACTTGAGGACAATGGAGGTGTGCTAGCTACTTTCAGCCTGCAATTTCTGGTCAGATCAAGCTCCTTCCTCACAGATTGCAGGCCTGGTGAGGAAATCCAAAGGGGGGGTGGGATGGACACGTCGAGTCCAGACCATTTTGCAGATCCCAAACCTAAAACAAGGGACAGAGACACCCAAGTGTCCACCATACTTCCATATATACACATATATATATATATATATATATAAGTCCCTGCTTGTCCCTCTGTCTGTCCCTCTGTTTGTGCCTTTGTTTGTCCCTCTGTTTGTCCCTCTGTCTGTCTCTCTGTCTGTCTGTCTGCCTGTCGGTCTGCCTGCCCTGCCTGCCTGTCTGTCTGCCTGTCTGTCTGTTTGTCTGTCTTTCCTGCCTGTCCTGTCTGTCCTGTCTGTCTGTCTGTCTGCCTGCCTGCCTGCCTGCCTGCCTGTCTGGCTGCCTGCCTGCCTGCCTGCCTGCCTGCCTGCCTGCCTGCCTGCCTGCCTGCCTGCCTGCCTGCCTGCCTGCCTGCCTGCCTGTCTGTCTGCCTGTCTGTCTGTCTGTCTGTCTGTCTGTCTGTCTGTCTGTCTGTCTGTCTGTCTGTCTGTCTGTCTGTCTGTCTGTCTGTCTCTCTCTGTCTGTCTGCCTGTCGGTCCGTTCGTCCGTCCATCTGTCTGTCTGTTCCGGTGTGTTAGGAGCCTCGCTTATCAGCATTTGTTTGAAGGCCACCATTCCAAATGAAGAGAACCAACAAACCGAAAACCCTAAAAGGATGCTACCAACGGTGAAGGAAACCACGTGCACAAGTCAGCCTAAAGCCACCATTCGGACAACCCGTGCTTCTCGGGAAACATTCGTCCAAGGGCGGTATGTTTTTACCCAAGGACGGCGAGGGCCCCGTGCGCCCGGTGCGGATGTCCGGCTTCCTCATGGACCGCTTCGAGGCGAAACCGGGCTGTGAGCCTGCCAGTTTTTTTTAAATCAAAAACAAAAACACAAACAAACAAGAACACAAAAATGAAAGCAAGAGCAACAAAACAAACAAACAGACAAACAAACAGACAAACACACAAACAAACAAACAAGCAAGCAAGCAAGCAAGCAAGCAAGCAAGCAAGCAAGCAAGCAAGCAAGCAAGCAAGCAAGCAAGCAAGCAAGCAAGCAAGCAAGCAAGCAAACCAAGGTACTTGGGGCGTCTGTTTTGAGGCTCGGTACCCCTTTTGGGTCGGTTAAAAAGGGGGGAAACCAAAAGGACACCACCCATTTTGGGAGAGCCCGGGAGAGCCGGCGTTACGCGCTGAATTTAGGCCTGAGTGTCTCGCCTGCACCCCGGCCCAATGATTTACTCAAGCGCACTAGCTCGGCACTGTTCATTATGTCAAAGATGCTCAAAGCCTGAGCTTCGGGCATTTGTTTTCCAGCGGGACCGAAACGTTCGCTCAGAGAATTGCGTGCACAGGCGTGGAAGCATGGCTAAGCCCCAAAGTGAAGTAGCTTTCCGCTTCCATTTCATGATGGAAGAATGCATCGACTGAAAGTGAGAAATCGAAGTAGCTTTTTGCACGGCATTTGGGGATGAAATCATGCAGGTCTGCGGGTGAGTCGTGAAGCTTGGATGTGGCAATCCAGCGAAGTTTCAAGATTTGTTGCGCGACTTCATGCAAGGCAGCCTCAGCCTTGCAGCCACCAAAAACACGCGGGGCCGCCTATGAGCCGTGCACCATGCAGTCCAAAACCATTGGTTTTCAATCCTCCTTCCATTCCGGGTGAGGTTTAGTCAAACACATCCTGCAGTTCATTGTCCTTCATGGTCCATGCTGTAGATTTTGACCATGGCTTGGGTTAAACCCCTCAAGCTCCCCCAACAACGCCCCCAACCCCAACCCCCCACCCCCAACTCCCCCCACCCCCCAACCACCCCCCCCCAACCCCCTCAGACCCCCCCCCCCAACCACGCCCCCTTGAAGGGACAGGGAGGCCACCGGGGCAACCGGGGGACGACCGGATCGGCGGCTTTCGGATGGACCGCTCCGACGCTCCGAGGTGAGCAACGCGAAGTTCCGCGCATTCGCGGAGGCCACGAAGTACGTCACCGACGCGGAGCGCCTCGGGGACTCCTTCGTGGCGGAGGTGTACCTCTCGGAGGCGAGACAGCGGGGAGCGGTCAGGTGGTTCTGGCTAGGTGGTTTCCATTTGCGGAAGTGAATATGTTTTATTTCCCCTTGGTGGTTTTAAAAGGAATCTATAGGTGTTTCTGGCTTCTTGTTTGCTTCCCTTTGGTTATGTTTTATCTTCCCGTGGTGGTTTTAAAGGGAATCGATTTTGAAATGAACAGTTTTTATTGCCCCTTGTTGGTGTTGAAGGGGAATCTATCACTTATCTATATTTTTCTTCAGGAGACTTAAGCAAACGGAGTCTGATTGCGCTTTCTGTTGTGTTGTGCGGATGTTGGTGTTGTGTGTGTGTGTGTGTGTGTTGATTTGTCTTGAGTGTTTGATTTGTTACTTTGGTGTGGGTGTGTTCGTGGGATTCCTAAGCCTTTTTTGGGGGCCTCCTTCAAAACCATGTACTGTTTGTACTGTTTGTTCTTTTTTGTTTGTTTGTTTTTGTTTGTTTTGTTTTGTTTGTTTGTTTGTTTGTTTGTTTGTTTGTTTGTTTGTTTGTTTGTTTGTTTGTTTGTTTGTTTGTTTGTTTGTTTGTTTGTTTGTTTGTTTGTTTGTTTGTTTGTTTGTTTGTTTGTGTGTGTGTGTGTTGTTTTCCGGGTTGGCTAAGTATGAAGTTTGGAGTACCGACCAGTCTTGCACATTGGTCCTGTTTGAAGCATAGATACCTCACTGAAGAATTCATATCCCTGGTTGAGTCCCTGTAGGTTACTTATATTGGGCACATCCCGGAGAACAAACCCAGAAAGAACTGGGGGTATCAACCACTTACCTGACGTGGTTAAAGTGATTTGTTTGAGCCCCCCGCGCGCGGGAAATCCAATCCCGCCCTACTTGGATGTTCAAGCCACTTAGTAGGAAAAGTTTATAACCATGGTTCTAAGCCACTGACACCAGTTACAGCTACTGTGATGGACGAAACCTGCACCACCCTTCAGAAACCCAGTGGAATGATTCGATTCCCCTGAGTAAATACCAACACACTTTCCCCACTTAGTTTCAAAGAAAGCCTGAAATGATAACCCCCCCCCCCCCCCCGTGAATACCAACCAAAAATGGTTTTCGCATGGTTTCCAAGTGGTACGAAATGGATCTCGTCCATCCAGAGTAGCACAAGGGGGAGGGTTCCCCTACTAAAGTAGACAAAGCCGAAAAAAAAGGTTGGTAATTGCCCTTATTCTACCCTCTCAAATCTGGGCCCAGTCACCTTCCCACGTGACGGTTGCGTCACATACCCAGGCGGTGTCCGCCAGCATCCACCGCCACGTGAACGTCACCCCCTGGTGGCTCCCCACGCCCCAGGCCTCCTGGCGCAGCCCCGAGGGCGTCGACAGCAGCCTGGAGGAGTCCAAGCGCCGCGGCGAAGGAGACGTAGCGCGCCAGACGTTGGAGATCTTTGTGTGTGTGCGTGTTTTTTTTTGGGGGGGGGCTGTCGGGTTCAGGGAACCTCCAACAGTGGAAGGTTCAATGGAAAGCACCAGTCAATTGCCGCTTTTTTTTTGTTTTGCTTTTTTTTTGGGATCTTTGGTGTTGCTTGGGCTTTCAGGTTTGCAGGGAACCTCTCCGGACCTTTTCCCCTCATTTGGATTCGGGGCAATGACCCTTGAATCTAAGCAAGACCTGATGGAACCGCCAGAAGTGGCGCTTGACTTCAATGGCAAACACCAGTCAAGTTTCAACGGAGGTTCAAAGCCCTTGGGCTTTCGGGTTGACAGGAAACCTCCAAAAGTGGCGGTGGTTTCAATGGAAGGCACCCGTCAATTGCCACTTAGGGGGAAATCCACTTAGCTTTGCTTGGTTTCGATGCGTTTGTTTTGTTGTTTTTTACACAAAACAATCAGCTTCAAACGGATCTTGCGGAATGGCTTCCCTTGGGCATCCCTTTTCAACCAGCCCAACGGACTTTGAGGAATCCGTGACTTCGCCATCTGCTTTTGCCCATATGCGTTGTCAAGTTGGCAAACATAAGTTCCACAGGTGTCCTTTCTTGGTTGGTTTGCTTTAAAAACATCGAGGGCCCTGGTTTAGATGGAGGTTATTCCATTTACCAGTCCCATCTATTTTTCCAAAAGGCCCCCTATGACAAGGTCAGACTTAACTCTTGGGGCTTACTTTTGTTTTTCCTTTCAACCAGCAAACGGCGTCGTTTGAGGTATGGACTTCGTTGGGACCACCCGGTGGTCCACATGTCCTGGCGACTTGTCGTCTTGGAGACGAAGGGTGCAACAAAAGGGAGTGGGTAGTCGCACTGCCTGAGTTCCTGGCTTGATACGTTTTGGGAGGACCACTTTAGTGACAAACAAAACTGTTTGCACTTGTTTTTGGGCCATCCACTCAGTGAGCATTGAACATATTCAGGCAACCCTTGATTAGAATCCCTGGCTCTTGTAGAGGGTGCATAGATATTTCAATTGGTGTTTTGGATTAGTGGTGGGAATTGAATCCTTGTTTCTTGTAGAGGGTACATGGGTGGAGTCCCCCCGAACCTCCAAACCAGGGTGTTTCATGCTGATAACGGGGGCCAGCGTGATTCTTTGCAACCACCACAGTTGCTCCGTGCGAGAATCACGCAAGCCTTGGTCAATAAGTTTGGTCATCTTCTTCACTGCTTGCACCGAGGCAAGCAGTGTGAAATGCGGTTCAGTGAGGCTGGACAAACTTGGCAAACGGACTTTGTTGGTGTCTTGCGCTCAGTTTCTCCCAAGAGTTCCTTCGGACTTTCCCTTTAAGTCCGAGGGTCAAGGGCCAATAGGTTCTGGCGTCATGTTGGGCCTCCCCGACCCTTGATGTGAGTCAATGGGTGCCTTCTCTTGTGATTTGATTTTATCTGGTGTGTGTGTGTGTGCGTTGTGCTTTCCGAGGGTACCTTTCTTAGGGTTGGCTGAAACAAACAAAGAGCGGGAAAACCAAAATCCACGATGGGGGGGGGGGTCGTATTTTGACACACACCCTTCCTGGGGTTCAGACTTCATATTTGCTTGGCTGGGGGTCGGCCACGACATAATAAGGCCTTCCTTGGAGAGTTAAAGGACGGTTTCAGGAGCACATATTGACGTATATGGGGGCCTGGTGGATGCTGAAGGCTATTTTTGGTAGAATTAAGTTGTCCCCAGGCCTCAGGCCCCGAAGGTCTTGAGACCTCTTTGGGTTGAGGAACGGTGGTTTCTGGGGTGATGCTTAATGTTAACTCCCGATTAGTCAGTCAGTGGGGATTCAGACCACTTTTGGAGGGAACACCCCCCTAGTAATGGGACGGGTTTATGAATCCTGGGTCAACATCGGGAACCTCAGGCTTTCCCGAGCCCATGTGGCCATTGCGTTCGGGCCACGTGGACACAAGGAATGACGCCAACGCCTACTGCCGCTGGAGAAACGCCTCCCTTCCCACGGAGGCAGATCGCTTGCGGCAGCTCCGAGCCGTTCAGAGATGGCCGGCCCCATCTGGTGTGTCACCTTTTGTGTATCAGTAAATGTGCCCAGGAACCCTCCGGAGCCTGCCCCAAACCACCCCAGAGCCTATCTGGGCAAAGACCCCACGGCTTTCAGCTGAAGGGGACAAATGAGCCACTTGCTCAAAACCCGGGTAGATGAAGGTTGAGGGCAATCCCCTTGCCATAAATGGGTGCCTTCGGCCTTCGCCGCCTTTTCATTTCCTTGGGATTTGGGTGCACCATAATTTAACTTCCCGCCAGGCGCAATGGGAATATGCCGCCCGGGGCGGCCTGGAGCAAAAGCTGTACCCCTGGGGCGACACGATGCCCCTCAGGGAGACCGCCAGCCAGTTGATCGAGACGTTGGTGTTTTCAGGGCCCCAAAGTTTTTCATGAACCAAGAAAAGCGGTGATTTCCTCCTTTTTGGTTCTAAATGGGAACACCTATCACCACGACGGACTGCTTTTTGCCCAGGAGACTTAAATGAGATCTTCCATTTGCTGCGGTATTGAATATGTCGTTAGTTTCCTCCTGTTGGTCTTAATATGTCTTAATGAGAATCGATTTCACCGCTGGGCCCGAGGAAATGAATTGTCAGGACTCAATTTCCCATGAACCCCAGGGTGGGGTGCAACCTGGGTTGCAAACAACTGACTACCTTGGCCGAACATCCAAGCTTCTAGGGGACACTTCCCCATTCTTTCCAGGGATCCTTCTTTCCAGAAAGCCATCAGAATGCCAGGTGAAACAGCTGGTTATTGAAAAGAACGATGGTTGAAAATAATGGGGAATGAACCTCTAGAAAGCTGAAAATAGGTGATTTAAACCTCCGCAGTCAACGGCCGACGCAATTTCGATGTCCAATTCGACGTCCCATGTGGAAGACCGCAAGGGACCGGCCACTCTCACGTGTTGAACCTCTGGGGCCCAAACATTATTTCGGGTCCCCTGCTTATTTGTGTTTTGTTTGCTTTCTTTGCGTGTTTGTTGTGCATGCGTTGTGTTTTTGTTTGTTTGTTTGTTTGTTTGTTTGTTTGTTTGTTGTGTGCCATGTTTGTTGCTTTATTTGGTTTGTCAAAGAAAAAGGAGGGGTTCTAGAAAAGCAACTCCACCACTCCTTTTGTCCAATCCCCGAGGTACGGCAACGAAACGGAGGACATCGAGGCCAAGTACCGGATGAACATTTGGCAGGGCCAGTTCCCCACCGAAAACACGGCGGAGGATGGTTACGTCAAGACTGCGCCGGTTGATGCCTATGGCCCTCAAAACGCCACTAAGCTGCGAGATTTGGCTGGGTTTGTATTTAAACAAGGGATTCATTGGCGGACATCGTTTAGGTGGGTCCCCACTCATGTCCAACCACTTTAGAAGTGACTGCCTAGCACACAATTACTTATAGCACCCGCAAGTACAACAAAATAGATTTATTAACTGATATAGTATATATGCGACGTATAATTGATGTTTTTGTTTTTACTACTATATTACTATTGGCATAATCTAATTGATCAAACATCCCAAAACTAACTCCATACTTCCAACAAGGTTCCCGCGGCTATTTGGCCAATTTTTGGCCAGCTGGGTGGTCCCCTAGGCCAAAACCAATGGGATCCCATTTTGGTTGGTAGGTGCACCACCCATTTTCATTTTAGAACCTATTTCAGTGGGGATTGGGATGTTCACTGGGGGTACGGGATTCTGACCCATGGCCATATGTCAATATATCAAAACTTGGCCCTATCAATAAATTGCAGGCCTTCTTTACAAGGGTGGCGGGGACCATACAGGCTTACCCTCTCGCATCGAATTTGACAACATTTACCCCCAATCCGGCGGCATTGAACTGTTGTTTTTGTTTGGCTGCCAGCTCCACTGAACAGCATGTGAGTAAATACCCCCAGCATGGCAACCTTCGTGCACACCAATGCTTCGCCAAAAAACTGAAACCGGTTGAAGCTGAACCCATCGAATCAAACGGAAAACAAGTTCTCAGGTTCTGTTTTACAGTGCTCATGGATTCCTTTTGGGTGGCTCCAAATATTCTAGAACAAGATGTGCGAAGGCATGTGTGAGTGTGTGTGTTGGTTTGCAGCAGGGTTGTGGGAAGTGCGGACTGTGACGCGTTTGGAAGGCCTTCCTTGCGGTTCCCTGGTAGCAGAGTGATAGCCAACCAGCCTGTTTTCTACGCCAGTACTTTTTTGGTGATGGATTGAAAAAGCACAAGGCCCACATGATGCCTTCTCAGGCCAACAAAGCGTGCTCACTTGCCTTTTGAGTTCCCTCCTGGTCCGCTATGACACTTTGGTTTAACCGATTTTCTTGAAGGATGGATATTGGCCACATTGAAACCACCTTTACCAGCTATTTTATTTTATTTGTTGTTTTGTTTTTTAACCTGTGCCAGTGCAAGCTGCTTTGTGCAAGTTACCTTGTGCAAGTTGCTGTGTGCAAGTTGCTTTGCGCGCAGCCCTTCTGGATTTCACGAAACTGGTGCTTTTCCAATAAGCAAATTGGCAAATACAGGAAAAGCAAAAAGAAAGAATCGACAGAGAAAGAGAGCTATAGTTCTTAGTTTTGAGAATCTTCTGCCCACCAGCTTCGCCGGCTCTACTGGTAGCACCCCTCCCCCCCACAAATATGCATTTCCCAAAGAGGAAGTTCCGATCAACAAAAACGGGCAGGTTTTTGCGTAGCTGAAGTGTAGGGGAGTAGTTTCAAAAGGACTTAAATCGCCACCTGGGTTGTAATCCACTAGCAAGTTTAGCACCACTGAACGGGGGGGGGGGGGGGACTTTTAAGCGAGTTACAACCAAAAGGTTGCCGAAAAGAAGAAGAATAAAAAACACAAGTCCCTCAAATTTTGGCATTTTGCCACCATCCTGGGAGGATGTTTGTTTTTTTTCTTTCCGCAGACTCGAGGACTGGGGCCTTTACAACATGGTGGGAAACGCCTGGGAGTGGACCTCCGACTGGTGGAGCCCTGCACCTCGCGACGGGAGTACGTCGTCGGGAGCCGGTCGTTGGTTCCGGTCGCCTGGGGGTTTGAGGGGGGAAAGCGGGAAACGTGAACTTGGAGCCTCCTTCTGACCCGTAAAAAATATGGGGTCACAACCCCTGAATTTGGGGCAATGACCCCATTTTTGAAGGGTCATGGAGATTTCGTGCACGAGTTACAGTTCCTTCCATGTGCGAATGCCCCCGTAACAGTTTTAAAGACGCGTCTCGTCCTACTCTTCTGTGGACGGAGGAAATCCGCTTCTCGCGCAACCTAAGAATCCATGGCATATACAGGGGATTCAAAAAATCCGTTGGGTTTCGTAGGTGGTGCGGGATCGCACACTCACACATGTATTTGGATTTACTGATTCGGCCCTCACCGCCAAAATGGTTCAAAGATCCCTTAGAGCTCCTTCTAAGCAGGTTCTAAGAATTGTTTCCGCGGATGTTCTTTGCAAATCACCTGGGAGCAAAAACCAAGTCGTGACCTAACATACTAGAAGCTTGAATGGCCAGAAGTCAATATGACTGTGCACCACCCATTTTAGTCTATTTTAGTGGGGATTGGGATGTTCACTGGGGGTACGGGCTTTTGACCCATACCCATATGGATCACTCAAGAACTCTAATTCAGCGGTAGACCAAACATGGGTGCCAACTCCAAAAAGACACCCAGGGCTCAAAGCCATGGGTGTCCAGCGGCGTAGCCCTGGGATCCATGGAAGTGTTACTGTTGAAATGGTGTCAAAGGGAAAAGGCCATGGAAACACACAAAGTGTTTTTTTGTGTTTCATTTGGGGGGGGGAGGGGAATTGTCAACATAGAAAAGGGGGAGAAAAAACAACAACAGATGGCCCCTCCCATGTTACCGTAACAAAATGATGTATAGAAGCATGTTGTTGCTTTCTCTTTTGACCTTTCGTCGAGCTCTCTTTTGACGCACATTGAAGCATGCTCGGCATTATTTTCCTGGCGAGGGGGAGGGGCGTCATTTCGGGTGTGTTTTAGAGGTACCCTTTCACAGTTTGATTTCGAGGGACAACCAGCATTTTGGGGGTCCAGATCCATTTTTTTTCTCTGACACATAGGCATCGAATCTAAGAAACAAACAAGCAAACAGACAAACAAACAAACAAACAAACAGACAAAAACAAACAAACAAATAAAAACAAAGAAACCAGCCAACCAACCAACAAACCAGCCAACCAACCAACAAACCAACAAACAAGCAAACAAACGAGCAAACAAACGAGCAAACAAACGAGCAAACAAACGAGCAAACAAACAAACACATAACATCGGCTTTTGGTTCGGCCTATGGGAACCCTGGAGCCAAAGGTCAGCTGGGGAAGCTGGCTAAACTGCGATACGCAAACGACCGAGACCGGATGTTAGCAATGAGCCTGGGGATGGCCTTAAAGGAAGCCACGAGTTGGGATGGTGGAACCTCGGCAGCTCACTTCCTGAGTTCCTGGACTTTAAACTTTTTGGGAAGACTATTTTAGTGGTAAATAAAGAGTTCAAGCTTTTTTTGGCCAGTCAACTTGGGAAGTGAGGTAGCCATTCCCAAATTCGCATTCCCTGGTTCTCGAAGCAGCCAGCTCAGCCCCGTTTTTCCCCCCGAAATGGGAAACCCGTCGAGCTGCAAGGGTGGCCTGGAGACGGCTTCCTTGGGTGAACTAGGGCATCCATTTGCTTAAGAACATGTTTTGTTAGTTTCCCTGGCTGGTGTTAAAAGGGAATCGTTTTCACTACTGGACATTTTCTATTTTTATTTTTAGTTTTTTAAATATATATATATATATATATATATTTTTTCCAAAGGGCAAAAAAAGCGAATGCAGGCATGGCAATCAGTTGGAGAGACCTCAGGTGCATTTCCTCACGGAGGAGACCAAGGAGACTGGGCTGGTGGACCCCATAGGCCCTACGGAGGAGGAGCTGGAGGAACTCGTGGACACTCAGCAAGGATCGTCAAGCTGCGATGGATGTGGCCATGGGTTGGAGCCTATGGCGAGCCATTTTGGGGTGCCTATTTTGATCACAGCCATATAACTGCCACCGCTTTTCAAAGTAACTTCAGATTTTGTGATACTTGCTCATCTCCCGAACATGTTTGTCATATCTTAGGTCAACTCCACTTTGCTCGATTTCTTTTGCCTTAACCTGCTGTTGTTTTTTCCATTTTGGTCCATTGCGAGTCGGCTTTTCCATTTTGGTTGTTGGTCTTCTTGTTCCTCGTTTCTTGCCAGCTGCCTTTCCCCTGAACAATCGTGTTTTTCCATATCCACATCATGACTAAGGCCCCAGGAAATCACTTGTCCAGCATGTTGTCCTTCCCATGTTTCAGTCGGTTCGCAATGCAGGTGATCGATCACCTCTCCTCTCATCCCTTGCCTGCAATTGGTTCTGTGGATTCTTCCATCGGCTTAAGAACATTTGTTATTTCCCCCGGTTGGTCTTTTGGGGAATCAATCACTAATTAGGGGACATACTGTGGATGGACAAAATCCTGCACCTCTTGGACATGGTATTTATAGGGGAATCATCATTCTCTGATTTCTTAGGTGGTGCAGGATTTCGTCCATCCACAGCATGTTCATTTTTTCCAGGGGACTCAAGCAAGTGGAGGGATTGGGTCCGGGTTTCCCATTTCCCCCACACCAAGCGACCCACCACGAGCTGAGGACATGGGGATCTTGAAGAAGGACGCCTCCGGCGCCTTCGTGCCTTCTCCCACGTTTTGGGGGGGGCGGACCGAAGAGCGCTGCCTCCCTCGAATTCGAGTGTCCGAAGTCATGAACGAGCAAAGGGAAAACGGAGGTGTCTCATCACCCAGTTCTCCAGTTGTATGGCTTATTTGCCCAGGTTTGCTCGAAGGGATTTTGCCGACCAACTTAATGAGAAGCCGCAAGAAAGCCCAGCTTAGTTTAGAGGCCCCCATAACTTCTGGGCTTAGGTAAGTGGTGGGATTTGAACCCCTGGTTCTTGAGGGCATATAAAGCCTACAAACTTCCAATCCAACGGGCAGTGTAGTGCCTTCTCCACCGGTAAGAACCCCAGCCATGGAACCCCCTGTTAGGATGCAAAGTGGGTTCCACGAATGACCAAGCAGAGGGTGCATTGGCAGACGTGGGTTTCGTACCAGGGGTTCTATAAGATTCATATAGGCTTTGTGGGTTTGTCGATTTCACCCATGATGGAGGTGCTTTTCTTGGCGGGGGATTCTTTTCTGGCGGGCCTGGCTGCTGGTTTTCGTTTTGTCCAGTTTGCTAAGGGCAGGGGCTGGCCCTTTATCGCCTTGATGTGCATCCAAGTCGGGTGTCCTTTTTGGTTGATTTGGCTGAACAATAGAGGGCCCTGGTTTACCTGGTCGTTTGGCAGAGAGAAAGGTGGCTAGTGGGGGCCACAACTGCGACCATTTGGGGCCATCAAGGGCAACAAAAACACCAAAGGCCCATGACCAAAGCGGCTGGCGACCATGTGTTTGTTTTATGTCGAATTTCTGGGTACCCTATTTGGGCCAGGGAAACCGACCGCCATTTCTGCCCATGCTTGCGAGCCCTTTGGTGAGCGAAGCACGAAGCACGCTGCGCACGCTGCGCTTGACAAGGGCCTGGAATCCCCAAAGCACATGCTGGTGTCTTTTTGGATTCACAGCAGCCAAGCCAGGGTTCCCCCGAGACCAATAGCTGGTCTTGATTGGTGGATTTGAACCCATGGTTCCAGTAGAGGGTGGGGCTAACAGGAACAAATACCAATTAGAAAGAGGCAGCGGCAGAGAGAGAGAGAGAGAGAGAGAGAAAGAGAGAGAACGAGAGGGAGAGAGAGAGAGAGAGGGAGGGAGAGAGAGAGAGAGCGGCAACTGGTGTGTTGCCAGCGGAAGGTTTAAACACAAGGAGGGCGCGGGACCTAAGGAGAAGACCAAGAGGGGCGGCTCTTTCATGTGCCACCACTCCTACTGCCTTTCTGCTGCACGAGTCAGGCGATGTGTCCTTTCTTCTTTCGGTGTCGGTCGATTCGATTGGTGACAGTCTGGCTCAAAACATTTAATGTTACTCCACGATTAATAAACCATTGTTTGTTACCCTGGGTTTAGATGGCTTATCACTGGAGGGGGACACCTTCACATCAATATTGTTGTTTTTTGTTTGTTTTTTTCCGGGGTCAACATTTCCGATTTTTCAGTGGAATGTTTCGTTTTCAATTGACAGCTGGCAAGTCGAGGCTGGCATCTTGGAGCTAAAGCAATAGATGGCTACGAGATGTGGAAAAGTCAAGCAAAGCAGGCCTATTGTGTCGCACTGAGCCTTTAACTTTCTCGTCGCATGGGTCACGGCCAAACGGAGCCACTTGAGGTGCTGGCCTTGTGGCCTTGGTACGGAAAGCCGTGGTCTGATCCCTGGAAGCTGTGGAAAAAAACAACTCCTTGACCGGGTCACGTGAGGGTAGTGGCTCTCAAGTAAAGAAGTTCTCCTAGGTGGGAAAATGTGGGAAACACCCTACCTGGACCCTTGAAATTCCCTCAAACGGGTTACTGCCTCAAAATGATGCCCAGTTATTCAAAGACGACCTTTGACCTTTTGGTTTGCCCATTTTGGTCTACTTTCAGTAGAGGTCCCAAAAGGTTAACCTTGTATTTCCAGGTCCTTTGGGCAAGTGAGGGAGTTCCCTTTTTGATGGCTCTAGAGATGAGGGTCCAGGTGCATATGGCTGTGGGTCAAAACCAATGGTACCATTTTGGTTTGTAGGTGCACCACCCATTTTAGAACCTATTTTAGTTTCAAAAATAAAAGTTCAACAGGGGTACGGGATTTTGACCCAGGGCCATAGCACCTAGAAAGTTCATGTCTACACTCTTTCCTTCCGCCTTGCAGCTTTTGGCCCCCGCCACGCGCGTGTTTGGCCGGAAAGGACATGTTGGCATGTAGCGCAACCAAGAGGAAGATGCGTGAGCCCTACTACCATCAAAAGCTCTCGCAAAGTCTGTTTTGGCTTCCCTTGGCTGAAAACGGATGGATAGATCAGTTTCTGATGGAAGAGCCACTGATATTCATGCTTTTCTCAAGGAACACACTTAAAGGTTGATGCTCAATTCTGTTCATGCATGTATATATATATATATATTGAGAATCGCCACATCATTTCTGGGAGTTGGGCTGTTTTCTGAAAAGAAGGATCCCTGGAAGGAATAATAGAAAAGTCAAGAAACACTCATCAGCCAAGGATAGACCAAGGATCACCCTTACGGGTTAGATATTGGCTCGCCCCTCTAGCCCTAAAAGGCTCATCCATTTTTTCAAGATTGGGGGAGGGGGGGGACAACCATAGGACTTTCGAGTGGCTGAGGCTACCGCTACCGCGTGATGGCGCGAAGCCACTTAACGGTCGACAGCTCTGCGCACCACCTGTCCATGCGCTGCGTGCGGCCGAAGGAAACCGCCGGCTGACTTTGAAAGGCCCCTTGGGCCAACAGCAAGACAGGGCGCTCTTCAAACCCGCAGCCCAGCCCCAGCTGGCCCTCTTTTCATGGTTGTTGTTGGGAAACATTTTACATTGTTGCTTATTGTGGTTTAGTATGAGTTTTTCGGGGTCCCCGTTTCTTTGAGAACTCAAAGCCCGAAGTGAAGGCTAGTAAGGGATTTAGCAGTGGATTCTGGCCATTGCGCTCTTTTGGCTACTTGCTTAGGAAGATTTGTTATTTTCCCTGGCTTTGAAGTGAAGCCCTATCATCACTACTGTCAACAAGTTTTTTTTTTTCCAGGGGACCTTCAGCATATAGAGATTCGCATTTGTTTGCCACTTGCAGCTGGAATCCACAAAACTTTCGCCTGGACCATGTGGGCAAGTCTCTTTTGAGAGCTGGCCCTTTTACAGGAAATGCCCTGAAGGAAGCTGCCTGTTTTGGGGGCCCAAGTGGAGACAAGCTCATGTTCCTCGAAGACCAACCTTCTGTCAGGTTACACGGCATTGGGGGAGCATCTTTCGCACCCTTTCGAAGGGAAATCAATTGGAGGCTCTTTGGGCAAGCTTGGTGTTGCAACAGGACCGACTGGGCTGCATGCGGCCAGTTTGCATGAAGATCCCAGGGTTTCAGTGGCACTGTTTTCCTTTTGTCTTTCTTGGGCGACTGGACTGGCGACTGGACTGGGGGATCGGCGCGACAGTTCCAGTAGAGCCGGTGCAACAGCCACTGGCGCAACAGTCGGCACAGCGCCGCGCGAAGAAAAGAGATACAGGCTTGGGTCGAATGTGTTTCTACAATAACCTAGGGAAGCCCAAAGCAGGGTGGTTGAACAGCTTTGGCTTGAACATCATGGAACCGGGCACCTTTTTTGCAAGAGTTGCAAAGCTCACAAGAGGGTGTTGGAAGTCTGCTTTCCTTTGGGGGCGGACTCTGACTTCCCTGTTTGCTGGAAAGAGGCCAATTGGCCCAACACAGACGGTGGAGGTCTGGCAGCTTGCTTCAGTGGCCTTTGCACCTGCCTAGGAAGGCTGACAAGTGAGGCTCGGTCAACAATCCAGGTTTGTCTGTGATTCACTTGCAGTCGGGACATGGGGGGCTTAATAGAAAATTGAGCAAAGACCAGGGGAGTCACTCAGTTTGCCATGCCGTCTTGTGGAAGCATTCGTTGACAGTGGCTGCGCCGTGCGCAAGCACAAGGCTTTGCATGTACCAGCTTGTGGGCGTAGGGGAATTTCTGCTTTCATTGGGCCTTTTTGGTGGGCCTCATGGAATTTGTGTGCACGAACTGCCTTTATGAGCCGTTCGTTCGATACCTACCCATGGCTTCGCAAAATAATTGGTCACCAAAAGCTGCGCAGGCTGCACGTTTTAGGAAAGGCCGCATGAGTCGCACGCAGAGTGATCTTTTCACATGATGGTTGTTGCCTCATGCGACCAAATGGACTATGAGGGCTTCTTTCTGCAGAGTTGTGCCTATAGTAGTTGGAATGCTATGCAACAACCCAAGGTGGTTCAAGCCCTAACTCAAAATCCTGTCTTAGGGGATCCTGGCAAAGAACCTGAGCTCGCCGTACCTAGGCAGCAAAGGATGCTTTCTTCTGCAGAGATGCTTGGACAATTGCAGACGCGCCAAACGCTTACGTGTGCAATGTGCACGGCTGGTTTCAGGCAACAACCACTCTTCGCGGAAGAACTCAAGCTCCATGCCTCCCTTGAAATGGTTAACATGGAATGCAAAGTTTCCGAACACGTCGCCCGGGACCTTTTTGCTCTCCCCTTTTGGCTGTCCTTCATTTCCCCTTTGAACCACGGGCCATTTGGCTACTTGCTCAGTTCCTCGCAGCCGACTCGCGCGCGTGGGAACATGCTTTTCGGCGAGTTCCGGGACCCTCAAAATTCCCTTTAAGCATGTTATTGCCCAAATGATGGGGTGAAATCTTTTTTTTGTTCTGGGTAGTTTGAGGGTCCAGGTCTTTTGTTTTGGGAGCCTGGAAGCCAAATACCCCCTTCCGGCAATGGAAGCGGACAGAGGGAAAGGTTGGAAGACTGCCATCCTCGAACCGGCTTGCCCGAAAGGTGCTATTGCTCCCATAGAGTTTACGGTGACAACCACTGCCATTACGGTTCCCAAGACCCCTCACAAGAGACACTCCTTTTGATCAGGCAGCCCTTTTTTCGTTGGTGATTTGGATTGGTGGCTTGGGGATTTGAACTCCTGGTCCTCAAAGGTCCTTGTGGAGGGTGGGACACCCCCTATCCAAACTACCGATCCAAACCAATTAGCGGGAAGCCAAGACACTTGGGTGTGAAAGTAGTCTTGACTTCCGGCACTCCACCCAAGAAATTCCACATCCTTATCTTTGCATTTGCTGAATAAATATGTGCTATGTTCCCCTGTTGGTTCTTCAGGCAACCTATTGTGGATGGTTGCGATATCCGTTCGCAGCACCTGAGAAATCACGGAAGCCATTCTTTGTTGGCCTCGAGAGAATCGAACCATTAAGGGTTTCTTGTTAGGTGGAGTAAAATGGATTTCTCAACCATCCACAGGGTTTTTTTAGCACCCCTGGGTTGGCCGTTCCCACCTGGAGTCTCCATGACCTTTAAAAACTGGGGTCATTGCCAACAAAAATGAGGCATTGACCCATTTTTAAAAGGGCCATGGAGACTCCAGGCACCGGTCTTTGGATTGTTGTCTTCTTATTTTTTCGGGACGAAAGAAAGGCGAAAATTCCCATCCAACGCGCAACGACTCCACGGGCCGAAGCCGCGCGAATCCGCCAGACGATGGTGCAGTGGAAGTTGGCCAGGGACTCCCTGAATTACGTCCTGGGCAACATCAACAAGAGGGCGCCTCGACTTTTGTGTTTGCTGGGTTTGTTTGTTGTTTGCTTGCTTGCTTTTGTTTGCTTGTTTGCTTGATTTTTTAAAATAGTTGCTTGCTTTTGTTTCTGTTTGCTTGCTTGCTTTTGTTTCTTTTCTTGCTTGCTTTTGTTTCTGTTTGCTTGCTTGCTTTTGTTTCTTTTCTTGCTTGCTTTTGTTTCTTTTCTTGCTTGCTTCTGTTTGTTTGCCTGCTTGTTTGTTTTTCTTGCTTGCTTGTGTTTGTTTGCTGGGTTTGTTTGTTGTTTGCCTGCTTGCTTGCTTGCTTGCTTGCTTGCTTGCTTGCTTGCTTGCTTGCTTGCTTGCTTGCTTGCGTGCGTGCGTGCGTGCGTGCGTGCGTGCGTGCGTGTTGCTTGCTTGCTTGCTTGCTTGCTTGCTTGCTTGCTTGCTTGCTTGCTTGCTTGCTTGCTTGCTTGCTTGCTTGCTTGCTTGCTTGCTTGCTTGCTTGCTTGCTTGCTTGCTTGCCTGCTTGCTTGCTTTTGTTTGCTTGCTTGCTTGCTTTTGTTTGCTTGCTTGCTTGCTTTTGTTTGCTTGCTTTTGTTTCTGTTTGCTTGCTTGCTTGCTTTTGTTTGTTTGCTTGCTTGCTTGCTTTCTTTTTTAAAATATATTATACATATATATATATATATCTATATTTATATATATATATATACATAGTTGCTTGCTTTTGTTTCTGTTTGCTTGCTTGCGTTGGTTCTTGTGTTTGTTTGCTTGCTTGCTTTTGTTTCTTTCCTTGCTTGCTTGCTTCTGCTTGTTTGCCTGCTTTTTTTTCCTTGCTTGCTTCTGTTTGGTTGCTTGCTTTTGTGTGTTTGCCTGCTTGCTTGCTTTTGTTTGTTTGCTTGCTCTGTTTGTTTGCTTGTTGGTTAAGATGGTTGGCTAGTTCGTTCCCGGCAACCAGAACAACCACTGCCACAACCACAACCAACAAACGAAGGAGCACGCAACCAAACGAACAAACGACAACCAACGAACGAACCCTCGAGCTACATATTCCTGTATCTCAGTCGGAGTTTTGTTACAAAACTGGCAAAAGATCAGGTTCCCCTTAATCGGTGGCTTTGGATTGGTGGGATCTGAACCCTGGTTCCTGTTGAGGGTAGTTGCGAAGCCGCCCTGCAACTTCCAAGCCACGGCGCTCAAAATCACCAAGGGCGAAGCTAAAGGGGGAGGTTGGCAACACGTTCATCGCCCAAGGAACTGGATGTCCTTCGAAAATTGCAGTTCGCCTTCTTTTTTCCCGCTTGAAACGATCGCCACTTTTGGAGGTGGCTCGGAAACCCTGACCCTGGCCTTGGCTTGCTGATGGCCTGAGGCTGAAGGGCCCAAGCCCTTCCAGATCATGGACGAGCTCCGGCCACGTTTCTGCTCGGATTGGCTGGGTTGCCGGGATTTGGCCGACCAGAGGTTTGGTCCACTCACGCCAGCACCTGGGTCCAAACAACCGATTTTGCCCATGTCCAAAATCCCCTCCGTAATGTCCAAAAACCTGTTAATCATGGGGCCTGTGAGTTAAGCCTCCCATCTCTTTGAACTTTGCAATGCCAGGTATCTTCATCTCACTTGCCCAAAGCGAATCGAAAGGATCTGACCAAAGTGTTTGACATCTTGGTCCGTTTCGCCCGAAAAGGTGATCACCGTTTTTTCTGGGTCCCCCATTGGCAACTGAGTACTGGTGTTTTTTTTGTTCTGGGCCAAACAGCTGGAGTTGAGTTTTGGTTCAAGGCCGGCCACTCCCTGGGGGAATAGTCACGTGCTCCAATCCGATCCGGGTTTGCTTGGAGGAGGGAAAATCCCCTTGCCATAAATGGTTGCGGAGACCCGCCTTGTCAATTCTTGAAGCATGGTTCCGGGACTACGACCATTTTGATGCCAGGTTTAGCTTATGACGCATGTGTCTTGCGCAAAGCCCACGTCAGGTTGCCGAGATTCAGCGCTGTTCAACCGCCAGGACAGCTATGCTGAGCGCTCATCCGCATACCTCCAGGGCAAGAAGGCGGGTAGCCGCTCAGGGCGGTTGGCAAATCAGGGATTCTGGGCAAATTGTTTGCTTGCTCACCTGCTACGACGAGGCTACTCATAGTGAGGCGAGTGAGGGTCGTTTACTTGGAGGTGTCTGAGCTCAGCTTGGTGAATCATACTGGCTGGTCTCTGGTGTGATCTTGGCCCCCCGTTTGGAAACAAATGGCTTTAGCATTCACCCTGACTTTTTTCTTGGGAAGGGCAACCCAATACTTTGATGGGATCTACGATTTGATGGCGCTTGGCCGTTGCCAGGACATGATGAACTTCCGCAACCAAGCTGGCACCCTCATGATGAGATGAGACTGGGGTTGGTGGTCCGGTCTTGCCATGCGTCAACTCTGCTTCAGGCGTCAACTCGGGATGGGCCGGCGAAACGTATGAGTCCAGCAACGTTTTTACGTGCTCATGTGCCCATCCTCAAAGGACCCCAGCTGCAGGTTGGCATGGCTTTCCGCGCGGCCGTTTGCTGTCCGCGCATAAAGTCATCTTTCGCGCTCCTCGGGCCCAGGAGGGCTTAGGGTTGAGCGCCACCGAAATCCCCAGCCCCTCTTGTATCAAAGGAAGGGGTCCTAATCATCCAGTTCGGACAAAAGGCCCTTTAAGACACTTCCAACGGCTTCTGTTGCTCATGACTGCCAGTGGCGGGGGGGAGGGGGAGGATGTGAATGATTTTAAGTTTGAATAGATCAAAGTTTCCGGCGGAGAGCTGACGCGTGTAAAAAAGCGGGAATGTGCGGCCAGGCAAGGCAGGCGGCGCCCAGAAGCAGGCTCCACCAAGCAAGCAGAAATTAGTTTTTGGTTTGCTTTTTTGGTTGGCTTCGGGGAGAATGTTCAGGCGAACAACGTAAGGCTGGGGCCCCTCCAAAGATACAACTTGGGCATTTTTTTGCACGAGCTTTGAGCTGTGCGGGTGCATCTCAACTGGAGGGATTGGACGGCCATAGGAGGCTGGTGCGGCCCGAGAAGAAAACAGGATGCCGCAAGTCCACTGATCTTGATCTTGGATGTTTTCTTCAACTTGCCAAGCCTGCGAGTGTGCTTTCCCGCAAAAGTGGTCCAGGCGCCCTACGAAGTTGGCTCAGCTTCTGAGTCCCAGAAGCCGAATATGTGGCTTGCCTTTTTTGTTCTTCTTTCTCCTTCGTTGTTTGCTTGCTTTTGCTCCTTCAATGGGAAAGTGTGGATCTTCCGACAGGGCCAAGCTCGCCACCCTCTTCGCGCGGCTCAAGGCACGGGCTGGGCAACGGGGGCGGTGGCCCCGGGGGCGGGGAGCAGATGTCGAGTGCGAAGCGGCCGGCGCCAAACGCGGCCTTCAACAAGAAGGACAAGCCAAAAGAGGCCGAGAACGAGGAGTGACGAGAGATCCGGCAGATCTTCGTTTTTTGGGGGGCTCCCTTTCTTTCAGAGAGAGAGGTGAGTCCGGTGCTGCAAAAATGGGGGTGGTTCTTCAGGTTCCATAGTTTTTAGCTTCCAGAGTGCAAATGAAATCACGCAAAGGTCATCTCCTAGAGTTTCGCACTAGCTTCTTGCTGGCGCGATAGGCAGGGAATGAGAAATGGAATGACCCTTATAAGCCATCAAACTGGCGGCAAGGCTTTGAACCCCGTTGGATAAGGAATAGGGAAGAGCCCGTCGGGCCGAATGGCGGATTCGGGATTCGGGTGCCGGGTTTAGAGCCGACCCGAGAGGTTTGAGCACCGGATCCATTAGACTCATTAGACTTGTACCCTCCAAACGTCCATTTTCTCAAGAATAGTTGTTGATGTTCCCTCTGTTTTTTAGTAGTCTATCACTGGACATGTTGTTTGCTCCAGGGGCATCTCAGCAAATGGAGGGAAATGGTTCAAAGGGTAAACCTCAATGAGAAGCTAGACCACAACTGGAGAGACTCTACCTGACCCAGAAGCACACATTTCAGCCGGACTTGTTTCAGACAGAAGGCTGTCAGGTGCAAAACCCACCTTCATTGAGCAAATGATTTGATGCTGGCTTTGGACATGGACTAAATGGACTGATTTAGATTTCATGGGATACATTGTGATTCTGCTGTTGCGGAGGCTGTGAGGGGCTGCGCTTTGAGTTGCTTTTCCATGTCCGGCTCGTTCGCCAGGGCCAAATCCATCCTTGGATGCCGTTTTGGGGCGGTTCCGTTTTGGGGCGGTTCCCTTTCTGGGGGCTGCTTGCCCAACTGCGGTTTGGATGGGTGGGTTGGGTGTTCGAACGCCCTTTTTTTTAAAGGGGCAAATTGGAAGCCGCTCGCTTCCCGAGTTCCTGGACTTGGGTTTGGGCCTCTTTGGACTGCCCAAACCGCCCCTCCGGAGCCCAACCCGCACCAAACGAACACCCCGCAGGAGAGCGACACCTCGAACTTTGTGTGCTGGCTTTGCCGTCGGAAGTTCAAGAGTTACGAGAAATTCGACGCCCATGTCCTGCATCATTGGCTGGAACCATGGGCCGTAGGTGTGCCTCTTTTTTTTTTTAAGGTTAGTTTGGTTGGAAATAGGTGGCACTGGTATTGACGGGCTCTATTCCGCTTACCACACATATGGCAAGAAGTTTGCGGAACCAAGTTTCCCAATAGAAAGCTGCCCCATTAAAGTACCAGAAAAGGGCGGCCCTTTGCTGCTGAGGAACCAGTTTCAGAAATCTTACCATGATGAAATGTCAGAAATGGGTGGCTTGTTTCTTGCGCGTGGCCACGCTGCTGAGGTATAGCAACCTTCATCAACAAACAATAAGGCAGATTGCTGGCATCGCATAATATGAAAAATAGTTATTGTGTGCCGGTCAAGAAGTCATGTCAACGTTGAGAAGCTTGCTTACAGATGTTGCAGTTTGACTTTGGTACACTGGAATAGTTACAATAACATGGTTGACATATACTTACCGACGTGATGTCAAATTTGACTTTTGGCGTATATTATGTGAATTTGATATTTTTTAGCTTGAATATCAATATAAATACACAAGTGTTTGTTAGGTTAGTTGACGCTGAATGCAGGACGTGTTTTTGCCTGTTGACTTTAGTAGTATGTATTCCCCAATTATTGTGCGGGGTTCTTACTTTTGAGGCCTTCCTTCCTGACGTCCACAGACTTATTTTCACTCGCGCAACTTGCACTTATTGAGTTCAACCAGTCCCACTCTCACTCACTCCACTTACACATGCTTACTGTCATTTACTCAACTTACACTTACCAACTTGCGCATACTTGTTTTCACTCACTCAACTTACGCTCACTAGCTTCCGCATTCTTACCCTCACTCCCTGAACTTTTTGCCGGGCAGGCGCATTACTTTGTTCACGCGGATGCGGTTCTCCGTGGGCGCAGCGCTGTAGACTGGTTTGGGCGCACAGGCTTTTTTGGACTAATCCGGACCTGGCCAGTCGTCTCCGTCTCCGGTCCTTTATTTGGACCCTTATTGAGGGCTGGAGAAGGGCTCGATTCATCACATGTCAAACCTTGCCTTTTAGCCAACTTGTAACGTAACAATCAATTTGCTGTTTCCGGCTAGCCTTTTTTTGCTTCCGGAAATGGCAACCCTTGAGACTATGAAAGGAGTTGGCATTGGCAGACGTATTGGCAATAGCTTTGGTAATGTAAAGTTGTGTTGTTTTAAGTTGGTCTGAGTTTTGGGCCGGACAGGGGCGTTATTAATCAGAGGGGTTTCTGGGAGATGCCCAAAAAAATACGGGTGCCGTTGAAGTTGGCTGGCAGTCGGCTGAAAAAAAAGGCGTCTTTAATCAGAAGGGTTTCACTATTCAAGTTCTAACATTACTTTACTTTTTCTCACTCAACTCACACTCTCTGACTTTGCATGCCTTTCTGGGCAAATCATAACGAGCTCAGCCAAGGTACGAGGTGTGCAAAAAGATTTAGCGAGGCATGGCACGAGGTAAAATGGCAGAAATTCGCCAGGAGGGGTGAGAGCTGAGGACTCGGCATTTCGGGCCATCGTTGCCATTAAGCGGCTGGTGAAATTCCGCCCTCTCGCGCGTTTCGGGCAATTGCCGGGCAAAAGACAACAGCAGCTGGGAGCAAAGAATTTCATCAAGCGCAGGAATTGAGCTCAAAGCCCTTGGGCTGGATGTGAGTGATGCCACTACACTATTTTCCCTCGATACGGATGGCAATGAAATGGCAATATTCAGAAACCAAATGACAATAGCTTGGGCAAAGACTGCCCGATACACTGCGTTTTGTTTTTTTCTTTTCGCGGAGCGTTTGCACACATAATTTAGAAATACAAAGATGTGGTTATTTGATTCAGAACTTGTGAACATTGTTCACATGGTTTCTGAAATTACTATTTAGGCTTTTCGTTGTGTTGGCTAGTTTGGCCAGTCTCAGAATTAAATTATTTACATTCTTGATGTTTCATATATGCTAATCTGTAAACACTTGCTTCAGACTAGATATTAATTCCTAAGCCCGCCCTATAAATTGCAACATCACGTGGGCCCTTTTCATCCGGGCCATTGAATAATTATTGCAGCACAGTAGGTCTAAATGCCAAACATACTGCCAAGAACAAGCATACTAGCACATGCACTATTCTAAGAGGACTCATGTGAGCTCTCAGAGCCAGCTCTTTTGCGGTCACGGTCAGGTTAGTTTGCTTCTCGTTGGGGAACTTTAGCATAACACCCGCTACCAGCACTGCGCAAGTGCTGCCAAGTTGGCGTCACTTAGGGGTCAAAGTTAAACGACGTCACTTTTTGGCTAAGTGATGCTCTACTGAATTCCAATAAATATCCACAACATTGCCCGGGCGAGGGGCAGGGCAAAGAGGACCACAGTCAGCACAGTGCGCGCCAACCGCTGCAAAAATAACTGCTCATGATTTGCCAGCACGTGGCCACGCAAGCTCCATGTACATCACGAGCGCATCGCTTGCAGGTTGTTTGCTCGGCCTGCGAATCGCTTGCTCATCGACTCGCGTCGCTCGCTTTGCTCGACGTCACTAGCGTGTCGCTCGCGTGTCGCTCGCGTGTCGCGTGCGAGTCGCCCCGTGTCGCTTGCATGTTGCCCCGTGTCGCTTGCGTGTCGCTTGCGTGTCGCTTGCGTGTCGCTTGCGTGTCGCTTGCGTGTCGCTTGCGTGTCGCTTGCGTGTCGCTTGCGTGTCGCTTGCGTGTCGCTTGCGTGTCGCTTGCGTGTCGCTTGCGTGTCGCTTGCGTGTCGCCCCGTGGGGCGGCACGCGTTGCGCTGGCTTGCGTGTCGCCTTGTTTTGCTTGCGTATCGCCCGGCGCTGCTTCTTTGCCCAGATGTCTTTTGGAGCCGTATCCAGTTTTGTCCAAACTCAGTCTCAGAGTGTGGGCGGCAACTTTGCTGAACAGTTCAAATGGCCGCTGGGCTTGGAACACGCCCAACAGGCCTAGCTTCCAAATGGTCTCCAAACTGTTGGGTTATAAACCTGAAGCTCTGCCGATTGCATTTGTCAAAAGTGCCCTCAAACTGACAACACTTTCACAAAGCTGAGAACAACAGTTGTTGGGTGGTGCTGGTTCTGGCAAGTTTCATCTACCACCACAGCCCAAACAAGCACATGCAACAGGATATTCAACGTACTTTCGAGTTCAGACTGGTAATTGCCTCTCTGCACAGCATATGGCGCGCCAGGTGGGCAAGCATTTATTTCCCAATTCTATTTTCTGTTGCGTGTGTTGCTTTTCCTCGCTTTTTATATTTTAGTGAAATATAGATTTAAATATCAAATTGTGATATACAGAGACTTGCCCATCCGATGATTATTTTCCATGTTTAGGGTTTTTTTGTAGTATGGTTCTGGCTTTTTCCTCAAATAGTGGTTACATTGCGGGGTTCTTCCGGTAAGAGGAAATAGTTAAGGCTGGGTTAGATCGAGGGTTCGCGCTCAAAGTGTTGGCCCTGTGCGTGTAAGTAGTCTTCGGTGAGACAGTCTCGAGCGAAATTGGGGTTCGCGCTGGCGGTGCTCTCTCGCTGTGGAGCCGTGCGCATTTTTCGGCTGGTACTGGCAGGGCCGACAGTTATTAAGCGCTATGTTTTGCAGGAATGTTTTTCAGGAAGCCTCGTTACGACGCTTGGACAATCGGAGCTCTAAATCCAAAGTTGTCTTGCGTGCGACAGCTTCGCATGAAGCGGACCCTTTTTAAAACTGCACAAATTGTGCGTTGACGGCTGGTTTCCGTGGCCAGCGCAGCATTCTGTGAGGCTGGCATGTGCAGTGTGTTTTGCGCTGATGCTATGGGTTGCGAAGCAAGCGCGGCATTTTCACAGGTCTGTGAATTTTGCGGCATGCGCAGCGTTTAACTCATTTGCAAGCTTTGCAAAACGAAAGTGAACCCTTTGCGGAGATCGCGCGCGTCGAAGCGCTCTCGCCGTGGCACCGTGCGAAGGCATCTTGCGCTCGGCTCTCGCTGTGGCACCGTACGAATGTGTCTTGAGCTCAGCGAACCCTCTGCGAGGTTGAAGCGCCCTCCGTGTGGCGCGAGCGAATGTGTCTTGGTCACGGCGAAGCCTCTGCGGAGATCCTGCCGCGTCGAAGCGCTCTCGCTGTGGCGCTGTGCGAATGCGCCTTGCTCTCAGCGAGCCCTCTGCGGAGATCGAAGCGCTGTGCTGTGGCGTTGTTTGCTTTCGCAATCGGTCGCGCACGAAAATCGCAACTTTGAAGTAGAACAAGTAGTACGCGAAGTGCGCTCCCGCAGCTCAGGCAAAATCGCGCGGTTGAAACGCGAAAGCAGCATGCGAAGAGGTTTATTTTAGGGGGGAGGGGGGGCGAGTTTGGCTTCCAACTCAACCCACGCACGCAGCTAATAAGACGAGCAACGAGCTACGAGGCTCAGTAAGCCAAAGCCGTCGGAAGTAGAGTTGCACGAAGTTTGTCTATGTTGCGAAATCCAGACATCGCACCACCTTTCAGAACCCCTGGAATGATGATTCCCCTGGATTTCGTCCATCCACTGGACATCCTACACTGCAAGAAGAACTGCAGAAATCAGTTTCCAACTTCCCTTTGAGAGAAAGCTTTCCATCAATGTCAGAAAAGGGTGGCTCAGGTTTTTTGTCGCGCGGCCACGCTCCTTATAGCAAGCTCCGTCAACAGACAACAAGGCAGATTGCTGGCATTGCGCAGTATGAGAATGAATTAAAATATTCCAATATTCAGACGTCATGTCAATGCTGGGAAACTTGCATAGACGTTGCAATTTGACGCCCTTCCCCAACAACAATCTGGGAAAGAGGGGGGGCCACGGGTTCCACGCAAGCATTGGCGCATTTGGGCGGACTCCAACTGGCCATCCAAAATGGACCAATTTAAAGAGACAGAGAGAGAGAGAGAGAGATAGAGAGAGAGACAGAGAGAGGGAGAGAGGAGAGAGGGAGAGAGGAGAGAGAGAGAGAGAGAGAGAAAGACCCAACGCCGCTCTTTTGGCTTTTTTCCGGGAATCTGTGAAATCGCAGCATGATGGATCAAGCAGCGGTCCAGGTTGCACCTTTTAACGTGCAGCAATGCAGGCCTCGGACCATGGCATGCCGGAGCTCCAAGTAAGCAAAGAGAGGCAAGGTACAAAGCTGACCAATCGTTTAGGTAGCAATCTTGGGTGTGCTGCTGTGGATGGACGAAATTCGCTTCTGGCACCACCTAAGAAACCATGGAATGATTCGATCCCCCTGTAAATACCAACAAAAACTCATTTCACCATGGTTTGCAAGAGCTGCAGGATTTTGCCCATCCACGGTATAATCCCTTCCCCAAACATTTTAAGCGTGACCCTCCTTGAAAGAAGTAGTTTTCCGCGAAAAACATGTTTATTCTTGGTCCCTTCGGGTTAAACAAATCTCACGCATTTGTTATGCAAGGGGTTTTAACGGTTCAGGCCCCTTTTGTGAAATGCTTCCACTGCATTGAGTAATTGTTTAAGCAGGCAGGTTGGTAGGTGCCTGTTTCTAACATGTTGGCAGGGTCGCCGCGCCGATCCTTTTCGAAAGCCGAGCAACTCCCCAAATGTTGTTGTCTTAAGAATTGAAATGAATCTAGGCAGTTTCAGATTCTGTGCGTTTGGGCTTTTGAAGGAAAGAATTGGGGCCCGCAATACGGCCCGAGTTGGGCTTAGCATTTGTTTAAACTTGCATTCTATTCCCGGACCTGATTGTTTGTTGGAGTCTGGAAAGACATTGTTTTTGTTATTACGGCGACCTTTCTTATTTTATTGAAATCGCTACGCGATCCGCCGGCGCCATTTGTGGTGCGACGACTGCCGCGACTAACTGCCTATCCCTCCCATATGCTGAGAATGGAGGCAGCCAGACCTGCCTATCAGGTCGGACGAAAGGTCCAAGCCCAAAACGTCATGAACTTCAGACGCAAAACAATTGGCCAAGTACTGGGAATGCAGCTTGCAAAAACCCAGTTTCTCCATTGTTCCGAAAATCAACCATCAAAAATGGATGGCAGCAACCCTCTTCAAATACATTTTGGGGGGGATGTTTCGCAGCAGCGCTCCTATACTAATGGTAATGGGGATTCAAAAAAGGCACATGTTGTCCAATTTTCGCAGGTCCTTAGATCGTCGCCGCATTGGCTCCGCAAAAAGCCCAAACATGCCAAATCCAACATCGCTCAACACAGTAAACCACAATCTGATATCAGCAGAAAAAAAACAAGTCGTGCCGCCAAGCCAGCCCTGATAATGCTTGGAATGCAGGTTCTTACCACTGTAGCCCCCCTTCCAGGACCTCAATAAACCACGCCGGATAATTGCAGGGTGTTGGACAGCAACTTTTGCTTGGCCTCGCCGAGAGCCTTCGGCTTTAACAGAAAGTTCCGAAGGAAGAGCAAGTTGCGGATTGCCATCTACACGCTCGACTGATTAGGAATATTAGGAAGAAGAGATAAAGTGGGTTCACTTGTCCTTCCCTTCCTCTCAAATGTAGCATTTGTGGGGTGGTACTGGTGGATCAGTTTCCTCTTAGGGACTTGTCAGGTGCCATGTCAACGTGGTTCGAACCCTAGGAGTGATGGCAGCCTTGATGCCGTGGCGGCTGACACCATTTCGAAATCGCCGGGCAGTGACTGCAGCTATGAGATTTCGCCGGCCAGTAATATTTGGCTCCATGATGTCGGAAATGAGAGTTCGCTGGGCAGCAGCAGCAGCAGTGAAACTGGCGTGGAGAGGGCGCCATCACTAGAGCTGCAACTGGCAAGTTGGCTTGCGAAGATGGAGCTGACCAGCCCCCGTTTCCTTCGAGCAACGCCAGCATATCGCTGTGGATGCGCTTTTTTCCGCGAGAGAGGCAGCGGTTCTGCCTTGGCCAGCGAGCAAGTGAAGACCATCTCCAAGTTTATGTCCCACAGCTGGCAGTCAAATCCTTTCTGGAAAGCACTTGGTCTCTCGGTTGCAAGTGGCAACCTTGCTCCGTCGCCTCATCTTCTCACACGGAAAAGTGGATACTGTGGATGGACGAAATCCTGCACCACTTTGAAACCATGGGAAACCATCTGTTGTTGTTATGTAAAAGGGAATCGAATCATTCCGTTGGGTTTCTTAGGTGGTGCGAAATGGATTTCGTTCATCCACAGTATCCCCAAAAAAAAATCCAAAGATATCCCCACAGCATAGACCCGAGAGAAAAAGCCTCGAGGGCAAAAGGGTCCAGCGCAGGGACCCGAAAGCCCCAAGTCATTAGCACATCCACCCATCCTTCGGCAGCGCCCCCATTTTTAGGAGCATGTTGAGGAGGCCCAGCTTTTGTTCTTTGTTTTTGACTTGTCTGTTTTTGGTTCCCCCTTTTTCCTTTTTGAATCAGGTGGTTTTGAAATCTCGTTTGGGCTTGTTTGTTTTTTTGGTTGTTTTTTTTTGGGCTTCGAATCCTGGCGCCACGCGCCAGGTCTGCTTCTCTTCTACAACTGGAAGCCCGCCGTGGTGGCCAGCTGCTTCAGCGCTGCGCTGGTGACGCTGCTCTCCAGCTTGGGGCTGCTACCAGGCGAGGTGCCCGGTAGCCAGCAGTTTGCTGTATGGCTTGCAGCAAAGGGGCACTAAAAACAGTACCAGAACAAACAAAAAATAGAAACCGGAAAACCAATGAAACTAAAAAAACACACATTCCAGCACCATTTGTAGCTGATGTGCCCTTGTGTGAGCCATTTGGGGTATTGACATCCCTTGGAGGGTGCTTGTGGTAGAGTCTAAAGACAAGTCCACACTGCGGCTTTTAAAGTGGGCTTTCCAAAAATGGCATGACCCTGATTTTGTGACCCCTTCACTTTGGTTACGACTGGTAGTTTTGAGCCTCAGGCGTTCTGGTGACGATGCGATCCAGCCCGCAGCCCGCGTTGCTGGCGCCATGGAGTTTGTCTGCAGGCACGGCCGATCGTTTAGGGTCCTCTCCCCCCAAAAACAAGAGGACTGTTTGAGTTGTTTGTTTTTAATTCTCCCCCCCCCCCCAAAAAAAAAAGGAAAGCAGAAGAAGAAAAATCGTTTGAGACAAGCACATGTTAGGGGCGCTCCAAGTCCAACATGGGCTCCATTGTTTGGTACCGCGGCCACTGGCTGACTGGTTGCAACTGCCGTGTTCCGCTCGTTGGTCGGTCTGGCTGTTGAAGTTTGCTCCAGGGCTTCTTACCTTTCTGCTGGTGTTGATACTTCGGCCTCCCCACGAGCTGATCTTCTTCGATCTGCTCTGCATCAATCAAAGCGATGCCGTCGAGAAGGAGAATGGTGTCTTTCCTGTTTCTGGCATGCTGTGTGTTTCTTTGTTTGTTTGTTTGTTTGTTTTTTTTGTTTGTTTGTTTGGTGGGTGGGTGGGTGGGTGGGTTGGTTGGTTGGTTGGTTGGTTCTCCTGTTCTTCAATCTTCCTTTTGGGGTTTGATAGAAACCAATTTCTTGCTGTGACACAGGTGTGCTGAACATTGGGGCCTGCCTGAAGCGTTCCGAGAAGCTGCTGATACTGTGGGATGCCAGCTACTGTCAAAGGACCTGGTGCGTCTTCGAGTTGGCGGCGTTTCTCAAGACCCATGAGATCCAAGACGTGCTAGTCCAGCCCTTGTCTATGTCGATCGTGTTCAGCTTTTCGTTCTTATATTGCTCGTTGTTTCTTCGCTGCTCTTGGTACGATTTTTGTGGCTTGGGTCTTTGGCGTTGTTCTTGTTTCTGCAGCCAAGAGGACACACTCACATACCTAAATATATACATGCTATGTTTTCCAGCTGTTAGAGTGCATGCACTTTGTACGGCCGCTATTCCTATCGCTACAGGCCTTGAGCTTTATGCACTTTAAAGACAACAGCCCGGAGGTACGAAGAGAGCTACAGTGCCTAGGCCATCACAGAGTTCACTTTGGTTGTGAACATGCTAGCAGCGCAGTGAAGAAAACACACACCCGCGAAAGATCTGGCAGCTCAACAGCAGTAGCAGGAACGGCTGGCAGGAGCGCGCAAGTACAAGATAGCATCATCGCAGCAATGTGTTCAATCTTGGTGAGCACAAGCGGTGGGGACAGTGTTGCACTTTAACAACTGCGACACTGGCAACCCCGGCAGCAATTGCCACACAAGCTACAAACACAACCAGGCACACTATGAGAACAACTCGTGTCATCAGGACCAGACACTATCTCCATAGCAAATGTCTGGCCTTGTGTGTGTGCCGGGCATTGCATCTGGCCCACAAGCCGCCTGTGTGCTTTGGTGGTCCAGTAGCGCTTCACTCTCTGCTGTGCCTTTGCAATGTGACAGTCCAAGTGTTGGTGACGGGTTGCATGTGGTCGTGCCGTTTTGCAGGCTGGTGTTGATATTTGTTGCTTTTGTGAGTGTGTGTGATGTTCCTGCCAAGGAAGTATGTGTGTGTGGTTAGTTCTGTGTCAAAGTTGCCATCTCTCGCTGAAAACTTGATGGTGTTGACCCTTATTCTGCCTTTTGTTGTTTTCTAGTTGCGGGTGGCTCCATTGTGTAGCTTGTTGCTGTAGTGCGCTGTTGTTTGCCTGCACGGCATCACCTCTTTGTTAGGTGTGGCCAGTAGTGATGGCCTCCTCTGGTGCGTTGGCGATGTCGCCATTGGCTACTGTTTTCTTCTGCTTTGTCCGTTGCTTCCCTGTTGTGTTGCGCTGTGCCTCTATGGCACTTGCTCAAAGGTATGGTCTTGCGTGCGTGCAGTCCAAAAGTTGCTGGTTGCACGATTGCCCTTGCTCTGACAATGACAACCTTGTGGAATTGTGCGTTGTAGTGCCTTTGCCAAGCCAGATTCCATAGTCTTGGCCCAAGCTTTTGACATTGGCTCACTGGGGAAACGTGTGCTGCATTGCTCTCTACCCCATCTGTTGAAGTAGCTCGTGGCGCAACAGGTGCGCGCCGGTTTTCAATGTACGCGCTACGCGCTAGCCGCAGCATGAGCGAATGTTCTGTAGCGGTGTCTCTGTTCCAGTTTGCTTCATGTTCTGATTTGTCCAAGCAGTATTCTGTGCTCTCGCTCAACAGTCTTGTTTGCCACTGCTGTGGCCAACGCTGTCAGGAAACCTGTCTGAGCCTGTCTGAATGCAGGCCTATGTGAGTTAGTTGTTCTTCCACATTCAACGCAGAAGCGCTGTAGGCTTCATAGTCAAAGAGCAGCCGCTTCGTCATCAAAGCCTTTCATGTAGCCGAAGTCAAGCTGTGTGATTGAAAGCTGCACGTGCTGTGGATGATTTCTGAGTCTGCCCTTGTTTTATATCATATCGGAGACCCACTCCTGCGCGGAAGGTCTTGGTTGCTTGGGTGCTTGTACCACTCTTTCTGTAGCCTTACTGTTGCTCCTCATCATTTGACTCAAGTAATTCTGCTGTCAGAAGTTTGTGATGTTCCTCAAAGCTTGCCCAGCCTGTCCACGGCTTGTTTGCTGTCTTTGGTGGTTGTGTAGCCCACTCATCTTCTACAAGTTTGCTCCTGTGTTCTCCTCCAACTGGTAAGGTTTGAGCCGCCTGGTGTCTGGTCTGTCACGCGGTTGCTCTGACGTGTGAAATGCCGCGCGTGGCTTCTAGCACGGTCCTTCTTTGCACCAGTATTCTCCTCCATGATGTACTCCTGGTGGATGTGGTAGTCCTTGTCCAGCCGGACCTGTGGTGGTGTGTGGTGTTGCATGATGTACCTTTAATGGATGTGGTAGGCCGCACCGGTGGTCATTTGGGCACGCCAGTGTTGCGCATGACAAGCATGGCTGGAGAGCAGTAGCTTCCATCACTTTGTTGGGCGCAAGCAATCAGAGTTTCTCGCGCGCAGCACGCACAAACCCACACGGGGCATGCGCTTTGTGCACCCGCTGCTCCTACGGCCAAGGAGCAAAGAGAGCTACACTGCCCAGGGCGCCACATGAGGTATCAGGTTTGCACTGTCACAAGTTCAGTTTTGTTGGTTTTGACAAGACTTGAATAGGGGGACTGTACGGGACATCAAGCACTTTTGTTGCCAATGCGCCCTTGAGTTGAATAGGCTGGGCTACACGATTATTGGCGGCTTGTTTCAACATGCGCTCTACCTGATGGCCGGTGGCTTGATTGCTTTTGGTTGGCTGACCGGCACGGCGCTGCTGAATTTCAACCAGTCAGTGGAGGCCTTGTTTGGGCAACATGCGAATAACCATGCTATGGCCCGGTGTTTGTACCCAGGTGTTTCCCCATCCCCAAGAATGACTACCCGGCATGTCGGGATGGGGTCAGTTTTTTGCCCCCCGAAACCACGGAGCATGTGGCACCGGTCTGTTCAGCCAAGATGACGGGGTCATACCCTGGAGGCAATGCAGGCGCAGTTGCAGAACTTTCGGATCGCGGACACCATGTGCCACTGCTGCTCGGTGGGGCACGAAGATGTGCTGATCTGCGACCGAGCTCTGCTGATGCGATGCGTGCGAATCTGGTTTGGCTCCGAGGAGGACGGGCAGATGGTTGAACCCCGAGCCTCTGAAACGGAAACGCTGGTTCAACTCACTTGCCCAAAGCCGACCCGCCGACCTTTTGACTCCCGGATTTGCAGCAGATGCAGGGGCATATGTTAGTTTCTCGGCCGGAAATTAATCTTTTAGCCAGCAAAGAGTGTTTTTTCAGCCTTCTTTCCAGAGCCGGCGATGGGGGGACGGAAGTTTCAACAAATACCTATAGTTATCAAACCTTTCCGCAAGAAAAGTCCCCAGGAAACACACATCCGAACATTAGTTTCCGGCAGAAACAAACTTTTTCGCGCCCTTCTGGACCACTGGCAGGGGAGCAACAAACATTTTTCCATCTAGTTTGCTAGTCTCCGGGGAGGGGAGGTTGGTAGCACCACTTTCAAAAACAAGACTTTGAAACTTGGATTCTGAAACTCTGGCTCCTACATCTATCTTCTCCTGCTTTGGCCAATACTTAGCCAAGTGTCCAAAAGGTTAGCCTTCCATTGCCGGGTCCGTTGAGAAAGTGAGTCAAACGCACAAGAGTAGACAATCGGCTTTGAATGTGTCATTCAAGGGTCGAAACGGAGCAGGAGTTCGAAAACTACGTGAAGGAATCTATGCAGAACGCCTTAATGCATCACTTGGGAGGGAGTGTCCCCTACAATCTGGTCTTAGCGGCCAGCCTTCCACTACTCTGGTTTCAGATGGACTGTGCTGCTGGCTTCTGGCGCAGAGGTGACTTCGTTTCTGGACTGGAATTCTTGTTTTCGGGGGCATACGCTATGTTTACGATGCTCGCCGTTTTTGCGGCGATACATCTTTGCGTTCGATGTACTTCCCGCTGCTGTCCAGTCGTGCGCAAGTTCTTTGCAGCAGCCGTGGTCACGGGAATGACGCTAAGCAACCAAGCGACACTGCAGGTTTGCATTGAGCTTCTCCCTGCGTCTCCTATGCTTCACCGGACTCTGTGGGCTGCCATTTGGTTTTTTCCATATGCGTTTTTGTGCTTGGCCGGCGCAAAGCGCTATTCTAAGTGAGGGGACTTCCGCCCGTGTCGTCACAACGTTTTTCTACAAATTGTCAGCGGGACTAAGCAAATACAGCTTCACAGTTTCGACATCTTGGAACAAGTAGAAGGGAGGCGGTTCCTCGGCGGGGTCGCATGCAACCGACGCTAGGGGCTGCCTTGAGGCAACTCGAAGCCCCAAAAGAAACTGGCCTCGAAGAGGCTTTACTTGAGGGTAAGGCGGCAATCTTGGTGGGACAAAAACGGGATGGCGTTCAACAATCCGGGTGAACACGTGCGTATATTTGGAACAAACATGTTTAAGGGGTTTAACTTTTACCGCCATGCTGTCTTTGCACTCTGTCTTCTATGAATGCACAACTTGCCAGGCAGTTTTGCTCTCCCCAAAAAATGGGAAGCAAGCGTCTGCACGTTTTAAGTCCAATTCCATCCCCGAGCCAGAGGAGATCGGTTTGTGTCGGACTTTTTAACTACGCGTCACGTTACTGACACCATATCCCTGCTCAAAAAACTATCTCGATGAACCTCGATTTACGAAATTTTAAATTTCATAATTAAGATTATTTATTATTTAGATATACGAAATTTAATATGTTATTGATACTATATAATATATCATTGTTGTATTTGATTGAATTTGGAAATTAAAAACATATAATTGTAACTTGTTTATTATTTAATATTGACAATTAGGTATTTATTATATATATAATACTTATATTTTAATTTATTTTATATTAAATAAATGGATTTTTTTAAATTGTAAAATTGAATGAAATATAATATGTTTATATTTGGGAATTTTAAGGTATATAAAATTTCCGTGTTTGAACGATATTTTTAAAAATTTGGGAATATTATTTTTTGTATTTAGGCCAATTTGGGGGAAATTGATATTATATAAGATTAAATTGGTTGATTGATTTTTATTAATGATATTTTCGCTAATTTAATGTGTTTTTAGCTATTTATAGAAATCTTTGAATAATGATGAATTATGTTAACGACATTTTGGGGGAAGTATTGGGCTTTTTAGGTATATATAGAATTAATATACAATTTAATAATTATATGTTATATTTAAATATATATATATATATAATATTGTATTTTTATTGAATTAATTTAACATAATAATTATGAATTATAATATTCTCCTATAAGCCGGTACGGCCTCGAGGTCGCATTTCCCGTGCACCGGGGAGCCGCTGCAGCGGTACCCCGGCCAAATCGTTGTGCTTACGGCGAGTGGCTGTGCCCGTCCCGGTCCTTTCTCCGCGGTGCAAGTTCCGGCCTCTTCGCGCGGCCCGGAAGTCCCCGAAATTTTGCCGAAATGTTGGGGGGTTCTGCGGATGATCGCGCAGAGTTCTCGTGGCATAACCCGGCCAAATTTTCCCGAATTTTGGGTCGCTTCCGGCGACCCGGCTCTCAGATCTCCGGACGTAACCCCCGCAAATGTCTTCACAATTTGGCGGCTTTCCGAAAAAATTAACGGGCCACATATTCGGGAAATTTGGGGACTTGTCCGAGGCGAAATTTCCGGAAAATTTCGCGCCGGGCGCGTGGTGTTTACATCCAGTCCATTTGCTCTGTTGCCTGCATCCAGCTCAGGTCGCGAGCACCTTGGCTACGCTTCGCGACGCCCGGGAGTCCATGCGCATGATGCTTCGTTGCTCTGTTTGCAGAGGTCCCAGGTCCATACTCTCGCTTTTCTGCTGTTTGGCTCTCAGCTTTGTCGCATGCCCTTGCCTGAACTGTCGTACCCGCAGGCTCCAGTGGCTCTGCTGAACTCGGCTTTCTTTGCCATGCCGCCGCGCAAGCGGCCCCTCGGGGTCGCATTTCGCGTGCACCGCAGAGCCGTTGTGGTTCTCCGGCCGAATCGTCGTGCCGTCGTGCTTGCGGCGTGCGGCTGCGCCCGTCCTGGTCCTTTCTCCGTGGCGCAAGCTCCTGCCTCTTCGTGCGGCCCGGAAGTCCCCGAAATTTTGCTCAAATTGTTGGTCGCTTCCGGCCACCCGGCTCTCAGATCTTCTCTCTTTCTCTCTTTCTCTCTTTCTTTCTTTCTTTCTTTCTTTCTTTCTTTCTTTCTTTCTTTCTTTCTTTCTTTCTTTCTTTCTTTCTTTCTTTCTCTCTGTTGCTCTGTCTCTTCGTCTCTTTGCCTCTTTGTCTCTCTGTCTTTCGGTCTCTCTGCCTCTCTGCCTCTTTGTCTCTCTGTCTCTCTGTCTTTCTCTCCCTCTATCTCTCTGTCTCTCTGCCTCTCTGTGTTTTTGTGCGTCTCTGTGTCTTTGTGTCTCTCTGTGTCTCTGTGTGTTTGTCTTTTTGTGTTCTCTCTCTTTCTCTCTCTCTCTCTCTCTCTGTCTCTCTGTCTCTCTGTTTTGTCTGCCTTTCTGTCTGTGTGTTTGGCTGTCTGTGTGGTTCTGTCTGTCTGTCTGTCTGTCTGTTTGTTTCTGTTTGCCTGTTTGCCTGTTTGCCTGTTTGCCTGTCTGTCTGTCTGTCTGTCTGTCTGTCTGTCTGTCTGTCTGTCTGTCTGTCTGTCTGTCTGTCTGTCTGTCTGTCTGTCTGTCTGTCTGTCTGTCTGTCTGTCTGTCTGTCTGTCTGTCTGTCTGTCTGTCTGTCTGTCTGTCTGTCTGTCTGTCTGTCTGTCTGTCTGTCTGTCTGTCTGTCTGTCTGTCTGTCTGTCTGTCTGTCTGTCTGTCTGTCTGTCTGTCTGTCTGTCTGTCTGTCTGTCTGTCTGTCTGTCTGTCTGTCTGTCTCTGTCTGTCTGTCTGTCTGTCTGTCTGTCTGTCTGTCTGTCTGTCTGTCTGTCTGTCTGTCTGTCTGTCTGTCTGTCTGTCTGTCTGTCTGTCTGTCTGTCTGTCTGTCTGTCTGTCTGTCTGTCTGTCTGTCTGTCTGTCTGTCTGTCTGTTGTTTGTTTGTCTGTTTGTCTGGGTGTTTTTGTTTGTCTGTTTGTTTGTTTCTGGTTGTCTTTATCTGTCTCTGTTTGTTGTTTGTCTTTGTCTGTTTTTGTATGTCTGTTGTTTGTTTCTGTTTTTCTCTGTCTGTTTTTGTCTGTCTCTGCTTATCTCTGTGTATCTCTGTTTGTGATTGAAAATATAGAATTTTAAATAAAAAATATAAGGTGTTAAGGATGGGTATTATTTTGATGATTAGAATTATTTTGGAAATTTGGAAAGAATTTTTTTTATTGCTGGATGTTTTTAGGAATGATATGTGAATATACTCTGTATTTTTTTACTCTATAAAACGAAACCGTGAAACTTGCTCGTCGCACTTGCGCGCGTTTTCCCGGACCGCTTTTCCGAAACATCCCGGATATTTCGGAAAATTGGTCTGGACTGCCCCTGGAAGATGTAACCGCTTCATACTTCCTACGGACCGCTTGCCCAAATCTGTCCGGGCTACCCCGGCGTGTGTGCGGAAGACATAGTGGCTCCATTTTGTGTAGGGACCAATTTCCCGAAATATTCCGGATATTTCGGGAAAGCGGTCCGGAATCGCAGCCACCCACCATTTTCTCGAAATATTCCGAATATTTCGGGGACCATTTTCCCGAAATATTCCAAATATTTCGGGAAATGCTATCGTCGAAATATCAGGAATATTTCGGAAAAATGGTCTGGAGTGCGACTATCGAAATATCCGGGATATTTCGGAAAAATGGTCCGGGCTTTGAACGAAGTCGTTGTGTCTTCTAGATCAAGAGTCTAGGCATATATCTCCCCATCCGTAGCCGTTGAACGAAGCCGTTGTGTCTTCCAGATAAAGAGTCGGGGCATATATCTGCCTGTCCGTAGCAATTTTGGCTGAAATCTTGGCCCATCTTCCGAGAGTTTGGCGATGCGAGAAGCTGTGAGCCGCAGCCGATTGTTGCGACCAGTGGTGTTTTTCCCCATGCTTTGGGCGAAATCAGTTCGGAATTGCTTGCACCCAGGATGATTTCTGGTCGATCGCGTTTTCGCTTGCGCTTGCAACAACTGCGTGTGTGGATGGATCTTTTGAGGCCAACAGCCCGCGGATCCGTTCTCACCACCGCCTTTCACTGACTCTTTGACGTGACCTTATCGCGACCAGCCCGGCCCTGAGTGCGTCTCGCGACCTGTGTTGGGAGAACGGCAAGCATGCTTTTTGCGTGCGGCGAGTATACATTTGTTTGATACGTATGAGATTATAAAATATGTTGGTGCCTGAGTTGCAAGAAATGTCTTGCCGGCGCGGGCTCTGTAAGATCTGGACCTTGGCCCCTGAGAGCTTGCCGCTTTTGTGGCACCCGCCTCAACTTACCCCTAATTGCTGGTTTGGATTGGTGGTTTGGGGATTGAACCCCTGGATCATGTTGAAGTTGAATGGGAAACCACCCCCTAACCTCCAAAACGCCGATCCAAACTACCAATCCAAACCGGGCCGGTAGCAACCCGGGGTGCCCAGTCCTGCAACCACCTCCTGGCAGCGGGAGCGGCGGGGCAGGGCCGAGACAAGCGCGTGACAAACCGTTTCCCACTGGCTCGCTCCACTGGGCGAGGGCGCCAGGGGACAAGCGGCCAGCGGCCGCGTGCAACTGGGGCACGCGCAGCCGAGAGCTCGCACGCGCGTTCTTGCAGCCCGTCTGCATCACGGCTCTCGGGCTCGGAGTCGGACGCGTGCACATGCGCAGGCGAAGCCTGTGGCATGTCGACATCAGAATCCGGCGCGCTGCGCGCCGGAGGTGTGTCTCTTTTTTGTCTCTGTCTCTCTGTCGGTGTCTTTCTCTGTCTCTCTTTGTCTGTTGGTCTCTCTGTCTCTGGTATCTGTTTCGTCTGTCTGTCTGTCTGTCTGTCTGTGTCTGTCTGTCTGTGTCTGTCTGTCTGTGTCTGTCTGTCTGTGTCTGTCTGTCTGTGTCTGTCTGTCTGTTTGTGTCTGTGTCTGTCTTTGTCTCTGTGTTTGTTTTTGTCTTTGTCTTTGTCTCTGTCTTCTTGTTTGTTTGTTGGTTTGCTTGTTTGTCTGTTTGTTTGTTTGTTTTGTTTTTTTGTTTGTGTTTGTCTGTTTGTGTGTTTGTTTGTCTGGTTGTTTGTTTGTTTGTCTGTTTTGTTTGTTTATTTGTCTGAAGTTGATATTGCATAGGTTAAGCTTTGTGAGTTAGCTGATATTGCATAGGTTAGTTGTAATGAATGTATAAAATTTAGGGATTGTTTTATGTTATCGAAAGAATTAGGATAATTTTGATGGAATTTGGAGATATTGTGTTTAGGTATGTATAATATTTAAGAATAAGAATTAAAATATT